CGCCTTCAATCTGGTTTTGATCATTGCTGGTCGTTGAGTTCCTCTCATGGCTTTGATCTTCCGTGCGGAGGTTTTCCTGCTTTGAGCCTGGTTGAAGACTCGTTGATTGGACACTGGTTAGTGACCTCCTAGTGCCAACTTGAGAGGCATGGGAAGACCGTCCGCGCGGGCCAGGCATATTTTCGCGGCCCTCTTGTTCGAAGATACCAAAACGCTCCTGGGTTCGTCGATCTCTAAACCGGGGGAGAAGTCCCCAGTACTTGGGCACTTTCCGAGACTCTTCCCCATCTCGAGGACTGGTCTGGCCAGTGACTTCCAATATGGGAATTTCGGCTGTCTCATTGGAAAGGTTCGAGGTATCAAAGTATGGCCGTACTTTTATAGCCTGGTAGTGGCCTTCATGTGGATAGGAAGGTTGCATAGACTGAAAATCCGTGAATGGGCGAACTTTGGGGGTGTACATGCGGCTACGCAGGAAATGGTCCGCCGTTGGATACAAAGCTCCCACCAGGACTGGACTTTCAGGGGTTACCTCCCCTTCAGGGCGGTGGTTTCCATCCTCTTCAGCGTCGTATACCGCAGGACGCACTTTCGAAACGTGGAGACCTGAAATACGGTGATTGTCGTGGGGGGTGTCATGGTCTTCGCATAAATGGTGTGGCTCGTTTTCGGATGCCTCTCTCGTGCCCGTACCAGCTGAGGGTAAAGTGACAAGTTCTATGGGACGGGTGGTGTTTTCAATTGGTGTTGGGGTCCTGGATGCGGGTCTTTGTGTTGCTGAGTCTTGTGGGGAGTTTTTATTTGCTGAGTTTGGGTGACTGTGAGTGAGTACGGGCGGGACAGGCAGCTCTTGCTTGATAGAGGGTGGCTGCTGTGCATGTGACTTCAACAAAGCATGACGATAGCTGCCGAGATGTGAGACTATGGATCGCGTCGACGCCGTACGGTTGCTTATAACTCTAAGGGAGGGATTGGAGTTGCTCGTGCGAAGACCAGCCGCATTCGGATCATTCATGGCGCCGGTAATCTCATCAATGAGCTGTCCGCGTCGTTATATTTCCTGGTGAAGCCAATTGCCAAAGTTGCCCCCTCTTTTCAAGGATATGAGGCATTCAACGGGAGCAAGCAGTGTTTGGGTAGAATAGAAAAGGGCGAATAGAAAGAAGTTCGAGAGGGCGGTTGGAGGGAAAGCCGAGATAAAAATGATTGCGTGTGCGTTGTAGTAAAGATTAGGAGAAGTAGGGGTTCTTCGGTATATAAAATATCAGGTGAAGGGTATTGGAGTGATAGATGGTATTGGGGATGAGGTTCCGACGGGAGAGAAGCAGACAAGAATGCCGTCTCCTGGCACGGACTCGGCCAGTCCCTCTGGGAGAACAGAGCATGGGGGGCGACTGCCTCGTGCCATGCTCGGGATCCTTCCATTTCCGCGAGCGCAATGTTAAGGGAAGCTGCGTCGTGGCCAGCGAGGAAGGAGTCGATGGTGCAGACGTGTCCGGGAGGAAGGTTCGGCTTGGCTATCAGTCCCGACTCCCGGGATAAGTCCGTGAGCTGCGATTGGGCCAAGCAAGTGTGGACAATCCAATGGGCGAAAGGCTCTCGGCGGCGTGTTGGGACGGTTAGGTGAACTCGAAAGCGCTCGGCCGTCTGAGATGACGAGTATGTCTTGCATCATGTAGGAGGTATGTGCGAAATAACGAATGTGCAGAATTGGATGAGAGAGTCTCGGTTCAGTTCACTGCTCATTATGAGTGGGTCCTATAATTATGAAGGCACCTTATAGCACCGCCACAAGGTATGGACAGCTACGTGTAAGTTTTATGTATCGAAGAAATCTACGTAAAGAGGACAAATGCTTCAAAATCGAAGTCAATGTCGATCATACTATTATATTATAATCAGTTCCACATGAACGACGTTGTGGTGGTTGTGTCGGTCGGGTTTGAACTACATGGACGTCCATATAAGAGGTACCTAGGAGGTAGGTAAGCTGTACCCTGAATCATGATATACTGCCATTTACACAGTCACAATGTGAACAGTCAGGTAGATAACGGACGGTTAACAGTGCCGTGAGTATGCGAAGAGACAAGTGGCCCGATGCCGCATTTTGCCGGAGTCTGTGGCCACTATGACTTCGTCATTCGAGCTGCGTGATACATTCTACAGGCACTCGTTGCACTGGATCTCGGGATTATACCTCCCACAAGCCACGATATCCAGACAACAGCCCCGACAAAGCCGTCTGGAACGGCCAATTATCACTGCCATGATACGTGACACAATGGCATCACCACCAGCCATCCCCGCCGACGGCGAATGAGGCGGTGACGGCCTTGCTTTTTTCGACCCTGAGACAACCTGACCTCATCGCCCAAGACGAGACGCCCTGTAACAAAGCGTCTTTGATCGCCCGAGGCTTGCCAACCAGAAACGGGTGGCTGAACATACCACTTTTCCACGCTCTCCAATCATGGAATGCGGAAATGTCTGGACGTCATGCTGGTCATGCGCTGGTGTGTTGGCAGCACATCATACAGACTCCGGGGCTACACCAGCACAGCAGCAAGCAATCACTGCGAGATCGACAAATAAATAAATAACTGCCCGCGTATCGGCTTTGTTGCCCACCATCCGCATTCTCAAATTCTCCCTCTCGATCTTTTACCACACCAGCAGTGATTACGCATCAACGAACATCTTTCGTGTCCAAAAGATACAAGATACAAGATACATTACCACTATAGCAAGCCAAGCTCTGCAAGAGAAAGAGAGGTAGTAATTGGCCCGCCACCAAAATGGTTCTGACCGGCCTCATCTCCACAATTCTCCGCCTCGCGGAGCTAGCGTTCGCCGTGATCGTCGCCGGCCTCAACGGTGAATACCTCCACGAAGTCCGCCACACGTCGAGCTGGGACCACGGACGCTTCATCTACACCGAAGTCATCGCCGGCATCGCCATCTTTTTCTCTCTCATTTGGGTATTCCCCTTTTCGGGGAGTTTTGTCCACTATTTGTTCGACTTCGTGATCTCGATCGCTTGGTTCGTCGCCTTTGGTCTGCTGGTCAACGTAAGTCGCACAACTCCTCTCATCAAAGCCAACACTGCTGTTTCTCAGCTAAATCTGTCCCTGTTAGTACCTCAACGGATCATGCGGCGCCACGTTCAACTGGAGCAACATCAGCCTCCGGGGTGAGCAGTGCGGCAAGTGGAAAGCCGTCATCGCCTTTTCCTTCCTGTCGGCAATCTGCTGGCTCGCTTCGGGTATCCTTGGGATCATCTGGGTCCGCGATCGCGAGACCCGGGCTTTCCAGCGCCGCACCTGGCGCAGCAGATCGCGCGTCTAAAGACGCGTGCGTGGGTCAAGTCCACAAGACGATCTTCGGCAACGAGTGATCCACATTCGGGATCATCAACGTCTTGACTCCTTCACGTTCATGATCGAAATAATATCTTAAATGGAGCAGCTTTACCCAGCGTCCCGGTGGAATTTATCAATAATGAAAACACGCCAGTGCTGGATATTGGGGCAAGTGATGAATTATAATGGATTGATACCCTTTCCTCGGAACATGTAATTACATATCTGGGCGTCCTAGTAAGGCACATTGTTTACTTTCGCGGCCTGCCTACCTAGTTCTACACTACGTCATCAAGATGCTTGCAGGGATGAGTCGCAGCACACATTCCTTACTGTAGTCAAGTGCGTCACAATAACCAACACCACGGTATACAACATATATCTAGGTACCTACCAGTTCATATCTCATCCCGTCATAACCGAGGGTATGTAATGTAATTTGATAGTCGAGTAACTGAGCGCGTGTGTGCATCGAACTTAGGTTCTCCTGTCCGGGGCATCATGACTTTCCAGCTTCACCCAGGGGATAAGAACCCTACTTATGCCGCCACGGTCAGCGCACGACGAGGTATCTAGCAGAGGTAGAACCAGCTACAGCAAATATACCACTCGCAGCAATCCTACATATTCACTAGTGCAAGACCGGGAGGGTCCTTGGGGAAATGACGGAAAGGAACGGATAATTGTACCCAGCCGCCGTCTTTGGCCGGCGAGCTTTTCTTTTTCTTTTTCTCGGCTTTTCTTCTGTCCTTTTCTCAGTCTCACTCCCTTAGTAGCACAACATTACACCTACGCACCCCAACAACAGCCAGATGGTCAAGTGGTCCAGTGCGATAGACTAGAAATCTATCACCTTCGGAAGCGCCCGTTCGAATCAGGCCTTATAATGGACTAAAAATCTACCGCCTTCGAGGACCGCGTCTGCTTCAATCAGGCCCTACGATACCTAGACTATAAATCTAGGTCCCGAAGACCATGGACTAGAAGTCTGTATCCTTCGGGCGTCTCTGTACAAAACAGACTATAAATCTACCCTCTTCATGAGCGTCTGACTGAATCAGGCCTTAGGATACCTAGACTAGAAATCCAGGTCCCGAATATAGACGAAAAATCTAGGTCCTGAAAACCATAGACTAGAAATCTATATCCTACGGGTACATCTATTAAAAATAGACTATAAATCTATCCCTTCCATGAGTGTCTGACTGAATCAGACCTTGGGATACCTAGACTAGAAATCTAGATCCCGAACCTAGACTAAAAATCTAGGTCCTGAAAACCATAGACTAGAAGTCTATATCCTACGCGCACATCTATTAGAAATAGACTATAAATCTCCCCTTTCATGAGCATCTGACTGAATCAGACCTTAGGACACCTAGACTAGAAATCCAGGTTCTGATTATAGACTCAAAATCTAGGTCCTGAAGACCATAGACTAGAAGTCTATATCCTTCAGGCACATCTATTAAAAATAGACTATAAATCTAGCCCCATTCATGAGCGTCTGATCGAATCAGACCCTATCCGAACCTCGTTTTTGCCGACGGGCGTTTCCTTTCGTCTTTTTTTCTTTCCTTTTTCCTGTCTCACTCCCTTAGTAACACAACTTTATACCTACGTCTTCCAACAGCAGCCAGGTAGGTGACTGAGTGGTCTAATGCGACAGACTAGAAATCTATCTCCTTCAGAAGCGCCTGTTCGAACCGGGCCCTGCGAGTAAATAGACAGTAAATCTACTTCGTGAAGATAGATCAGAAGTCTATCCTCTTCGAAAGCGGCCTGACTTAATCAGACCCTGCGATAGATTAGAAGTCTATCCCCTTCAAGTGTGTCTGCTTCAATCAGGCCTGCGATAGCAGCGACAGACGAGAAAACTGTCTCCCTCGGCAGCGCCTGCTCGAACCAGGCCCGGGACACATGGACCAAAAGTCCATTTCCCTCAAGATCTGTGTCTGTGCAAAACAGACCCTGCGATAGATAAGAAATCTATTCCCTTTACCCACGCCTGCTTGAATCAGGTTCTGGATACGTAGACTAGAAATCTAATTTCTTTGGCATCCGCGCCTGTTCGAAACATGCTCTGAAAAGACTAGAAATCTTTTTTTTCCTTTTTCACGAGCGCCCGTCCAAACCAGGTCCCGGGATCCACGATGGATTAGAGATCTTCCCCCTTCCCCTCATGGCCGTTCATCCGCCTGTGTTCCGAGATCACCGGCTTCAAAATTACGAGGGCCATCAGACTCAGTATCAGAAGCAATGTCCTCATCATAACCCAAAACGCCGAACTTCCAATGTCCCCAAATATGCAGCTCCTCCCATGATCGACAGAAACAAAGACAATAAGCCGTCGTGAGTCTATCGCATCTGTTTTCCGCGCAGACGTACAAAGGCCCGCACAAGCCCTATAATCTATCGTCAGTCATCAGGTCATCCAAACCCTACCGCTCAAGAACAAGGCGGGTCGCTGATAGCGGCACGTCAACAACTTCAGGAGGACCTCAGCTCACTGCGATAATCAGTTGCCGAGTAATATCAGCACTGTCGTAGGGGGCGTGAACGTGGAACCAAGTGTCATCCCCTCCCGCGTTGACATCGACTCCGGACTCGATTAGAACCTTGACTTCTGCGTCCAGTCCGTAGTAGACGGCGTGTAAGCGGGGTCCGCCCAATACAAACCTGAATCCGGAATAAACCACGAAGACTACAACCCTGTAACCGGTTTCCTATGATAATATATCTGCATTGAAAAAACGTTATTCAAGAAATAAGCTGAAGGCATATCGGCATGCCGCATATTAATACAAGCCGTCGACGGCCTATCTATTCGACGTGATCAACGTTCCGGGAATCATTATGACGGAAAGTAGCGGTTGCCTTCGTGCACTCCCGTGAAAAGCAGCCGACTTCCGCTACATTACGCCAAGTCTTCTGAAAGATAATCAGTGACAGTAAGATCATTTACCTTTCATATATATTCGATCACTTGTCCCCAGGATATAAGTGCAATGCTTCTACCGCTTGAACCGCCTGCCCCAAGGTTTTGACCCAACCTCAGATTTTGCAACGCTATGAGCGTAATGGCGGACTCCAGTATTGGCAAAAAGACCTAGAAACCCCCTATTCACACACCGCGCGAACAAGGCGTGCCTCTAATCAAGCATGCCTCGCTCTCTTTGTCACTACATCCACCGTCCACACTTCATTCCCATCCTTATCTATCGACGACGTCATCTCGTATCCATCAAATTTACGCCTCCGTAGGTTATCCGGCTCTTCATCCGACGACGAGCCATGCCCATCGCTATCACCGTCGGGAGGTCCATCGCTATCATCATCTGAAGGCCCACCGCCATCATCATCGGGAGGCCCATCGCCCCCATGGTCAGGAGACCCATCACCCCCATCATCAGAAGATCCACCACCCCCATGGTCAGGAGATCCATCACCCCCATCATCAGAAGACCCATCACCCCCATCGTCAGAAGATCCACCACCCCCATCGCCAGAAGACCCATCACTCTCATCGTCGGGGTCATAACCATCATCGTGCTCTCCCCAATCGCCCTGATCGATACCAGCAATGCCATTATCCATCTCAGCAAGCTGATCATCATTCTGACCGTCGTCCCCACGCGCCTCCCGCGCAAGCACAAGGATATCATAAGCCTCGCCCAATCTCGCCACCTGATCATCAGCATTATCAATATGCCGCCTGTAAGTATGGTTAAGAGGCGAATGCAGTGCGGCCCGGTTATCCATATCCAACATATGCCCGGCGAACATGCTCAGGAAGCCCGACCGGTCTATAGCGAGTTGTACTGCGGACGCCCAAGTGTAAGTATTGGGTATTCCCAACCAAGACGGTGAAAAAAGATGAAAAACGAGCTTGAAACGTTTACCATGGCCTGGAAAACTTGCTGGGAATTTAACGGTGTTGGGGGGTTCAACTTACTCAGCTCGGACAGCCGCGCGATAGCATGGGCCGTAGGGACGTTCTGGATTGGAATCTCTAGTACCTCGTGCTGCACCCGCCGCGCAAATTCTACGGCGTCGTTCGTTGCCTCCACACTGGCTGCGGCTAAGTCGGTCAGAAGTGCCTCGGTCGCCCTATCGTCTTCGTTGTATGGCCTGTGGGGGTCCACTGGGGCCGGTGCGCCCGGTGAGCCTGGCGGGTCCGGTGAGCCTGGCGGGTCTGGTGAGTCTGGCGGGTCTGGTGAGTCTGGCGGGCCTGGCGAGTCTGACGAATCTGACGAATCTGGGGCCGGTGAGGCCGGTGAGTACTGTGGGCTCAGTGAGCCCAGCGAACCCCATGAGAGTGGCGAGTCTGATGAGTCCGATGGGTCTGGCGAGTCTGGAGGGTCTGGCGAGTCTGGAGGGCCTGGCGAGTCTGGAGGGCCTGGCGAGTCTGGCGGGCCTGGCGGGTCTGGCGAATCTGGGGCCGGTGAGGCCGGCGAGTACTGTGAGCCCAGTGGGCTGAGTGAATTCCGTGAGGCTGGTGAGTCTGGCGAGTCTGGGGCCGGTGAGGCCGGTGAGTACTGTGAGCCCGGTGGGCTGAGTGAATTCCGTGAGGCTGGTGAGTCTGGCGAGTCTGGAGGGCCTGGCGGGTCTGGTGAGTCTGGGGCCGGTGAGGCCGGTGAGTACTGTGAGCCCGGTGGGCCCAGTGAATTCCCTGAGGCTGGTGAGTCCGGAGGGTCTGGCGAGTCTGGAGGGCCTGGCGAGTCTGGAGGGCCTGGCGGGTCTGGCGAGTCTGGGGCCGGTGAGGCCGGTGAGTACTGTGAGCCCAGTGGGCTGAGTGAATTCCGTGAGGCTGGTGAGTCTGGTGAGTCTGGAGGGCCTGGCGGGTCTGGTGAGTCTGGGGCCGGTGAGGCCGGTGAGTACTGTGAGCCCGGTGGGCCCAGTGAATCCCCTGAGGCTGGTGAGTCCGGTGGGTTCGGTGAAGAGCCAGGGCCAGGAGGCGACGGGGTGTGATCTCCCCGTGACTGACGCTCCGCCTCATCAGATGAGTCCCGATCGTGCTCATCGCCATCAAGCTCCTCCCCAGGTTCCGGCTCGTATTCCACCGATCCAAATAACGAATCCGAATCCGACGGTCTAGTATACGCCGGCGGAAGATTCTCTCTAGGCGCCAGCTCTCTCGGGTCGACCAGTTCGCCCGCATCATTTTCGAACGCCTTTATCGGATACGCGCCGATCCGGGCTTTCCATTGCAGCTTCCCCAGTACCCTGAACGCCACGCGGCCCAGCGTCTCGGCGCGCACGGCGTCCGGGTTGAACCACAGACGCGTGGGCGCAAAGAGCACGGCGTCGCTAAACGTCCCCCCGGCGGCGCAGTGCATCTTGCCGATGCGATCTAACAGCTGCGCCACCACCGCGTAGACCATGAGCCCGGAGGTGGATCCGTCTCCCGCTTGTGGCGGCGGCACCCAGAGGTCGTACCCGACGTCGCCGCCGATGCTCTGTCTTCCCAGCAGCTGGCGCATACGTTGGCGTGCTCTAGATACGATGTTGCGTTCATTTTCGCTGTTGGTGGAATCTACGATGGACCAGTGCGCAACACGGTCGAACACGTTGTGACTTAAAGGGTTGATCGGTTCGCTGTGTAATACAATGGTTACGTAGTGTGGTCTCTCAGGGGTCCCGATGTCGACAATCCAAAAAACGTATTCCTTGTCCTCCAGCCCCAGAGAAGGGAACCATCCGTCTATATATGAGTCGAAGGTGTCCCTGAAGGCGTCCTCGTCCTCCAGAACCCAGGAGCTCATGTTGCCAGCTTGCTCGCCTTCGTTCATGTACAGGCCGACCTTGTCCTGGACAACCCGTGGGAGGGCATGTATCAAATCGTTCAGGATGAGTCTTAATGTTGTCGCGTCTAAATCGGATGTCCGTGTGCGCTGAAGAATATCCAATGCATTTTGTTCTCTTTCGACGGCGTCGGCATCAGCCAGGTAATCCCGCAAACTGTCATCGGGACCATCGAGGAAGGGCGTGAATGAATGTGCGTTGTTTAAGTTGACGATCCGGGCTTCACGCAGCCACGGAACTGCGCCGTCGTCACCAGCGCCAGCCATTTATATTATAAACCAAAAGGGTAACCGGATTTCTTTTCTATACCTCTATTTTCTCATTCCAATTGTTGTCGGTCTGTAGCGCTCGTATTTCATATAAGTCGGGTAGGATCAAGGTATGGCATAGCCAGGCCGTGATCGAGTAGGTAGACCACGAACCCATAGTATACAAATACTAGATGTTTCCAATCCGATTCTCATGTGTCAGGAGACAAACAAAACCCACAAGTACCCAGAATTTACAAAGGAAAAAGCGTAGAGTCCCGGCTTCGAAAACGAGACATTAGCTTCTTCGGAGATATACAACAAAGAGATTCTACCGCAACCGGCGCGCCGCGACCCTTTCGCGGCACAGGCGGCGATATACACGTTTTAATATCATCTGTCTTTGTCTTACCGGAGCTTCATCACCATTTGCGTTAAATATGAAATGCAGAACTTCGACACCTTACTCCCAACCCGCGGGTTTTATCATGTCGTCAACAGTCACTTCACGACACACCACCACGAACCAGACAGAGAAAATGTGATCCATACGGTATGCGAGGTAGAGAGCAGTGTCCATTGACAAGAGGACCTTCCATCATCCTCATCAAGATCAACTTCACCGCGTCAGACCGCAAGGTAATTTCAACGCCGTATCTCCAACTCC